AATAATAAACGTTATGCTTATGAAGAAAATCTTAAGCGTGAAAAAAAATAAAAATACATCTAACCATCACAATGTGTGTGTGTGTGTGTGTGTGTGTGTGTGTGTGTGTGTGTGTGTGTGTGTGTGTGTGTGTAAGAGATAATAAATCACAAGATACTTGAGAACTGAGAGGTTGGTTTGTTAATTGGTTTTTAATCCTGTCGACTACATAAAGCCTGCATCTGACGTCAGCCGAGTATGTTTCATCTAATTCGATGTTCATCACACGACCATTTGTAAATCCGTCTCGACCAGTGAACTGTCAGTTCGGAGTGTAGCAGTTCTGGGGCCCCACTGCTGCACTTATTGCCCAGGTCAACCCACCAATTATATGGAAATCGGCTACTTCAGCCAAGGTGACGTCGCTTCAACTTGCCTGGTTGAGTGACAGACTTCCACAGACATTGGTCGTGACTATTCATGCTTTGAGTGGCTCTTATTTGTTTTGATTTCTATTATGAAGTTATATCATTGCTTACTCACAATTATCCTAGAGAGTATATTTACGACGAAGTCTGGGTTAGTCCTGGAGGCGAGCTGTCAAGTAACACCCGAGCGAGAAACATTATAGAAGACTGGTCAGGAAAGAGTGCAGTGGTTGAAGGTAGTAGTTGATGTAGTACTAGTAGTAGTGATGGTAGGAGCACTAGGTGTAATAGCAAGAGGTGGTAATAGCAATAATCGTAGTAATGTAGTGGCAGTACATAATAGTAGAAGTAATTGCAGGAAAAGTAGCAGTGGCAGTAAAAAGAATTAGAAGAATTAGTAATAAAGATTACAGCAGCATAGTAGTAATATTAGTAATTATAACATTGGTGATTTAGTTACATTACATCTGAAAATGATGGAAAGACAAGTGACAGTCTCGACCCTCTCACACACGTCCCCAAGCAACACAATGGAAAATAAGAGAAGCACTGCAATAATCCACTGGTCCATGCAAGCTAAGTAAGAAGAAAGTGGTAAAGAGAAAGTCGAAAGAGAGCAAATGCGAAAGAAAAACGGAAAACGGATCAAAGAAAACAAAAAAAAAAGTGAGATGGTGGCAAATGTCAGGTCATGTTACAAGTGTTTTGAATACTAGGTCATCTGACAATGTATCGAGAAGCAGGTATTTGCAGTAACAAAACCAGCACTGGGATTCATGTTAAGAAAGGTCATGCTCTCGAAATGTCATTGTGAGCTTTCTTTCTGGGTTATTTTGTGGACTGCTCCAGCCACGGTATTGTTACTTATTTTCTACTACTCAATCTATGCAGAACTTTCGTTTATCTTATTTTAAGGCCTTTTTCTCCTGCTTTTTTGGCACTAGTGCCAACAACTCTACCGTTTTTCCTGCAAATTATCCATCTGACACTAGTAAATTTTCTCATCAAGACTGACTCAGTCAGAATTTCAAGTTCCTTATTTATCTTCGGTCATCTGATTGCCAGGCTTATTATGGCCAGTTTTTTTTGTTTAATTTACGTATTCGTAAATTGGCATTTATAGCCAAACCCCAGCCTAGTCTAATGTAATCTAAATTAACTTATAAAAATTGACGTTGAGATTCACGTTAAAAATTTTACCAAGTGAAGAGAGATGCTTGGGAAATATTTTACCAGTCATTCGAAATCTCCAGAATGGAGATTCCTCCAGTGACTACCCGATTTTTTTCCCCTCAGTCTTCAAGATTTTTAAGAATTTCCGCAAGATAAATTGAGAACGCTTCTGATTGGCTTCAAACTTTCAACGCTGGCGTTCGTGACTTATGGAGAACTCCTATTTGTTATCGCGGCCATTGTAAATGTCAGACTGCCAATTTAAATAAAAAATCGGAGATGTTAAATACGGCATTGAAGAAGTGTTATGGCACTTGGGTTGTAGGAGAGCAGGAACACTTTCTCTTATAACACAGTACATCTAGTTCTTCCTTCTTGTTCAGACTCAAACTGGGTTCTGTGGAACCATAGAGTTTTGGTGAAGCTTAGCAGGGCTCTGTATGATCTTTCTAAATAAAGTAAGAGCCGAGATGATCTGCTTACTTTTTATAATGAAAAGGTGACTTAAAACTCAGAAAGTAGTCAGAGAATCATTGTTTTACATTTAGTGTATGTTAATATTAAAAAAAGATTGTCCAGAACAGTCCGGAGAGAAATGTCATGATCTGAAGCGCCGCCTTCAAGCAGTCATGCTATATTGATCCAATGAACACAGCTTTCAGAAGCCTCTGAACAAGCCAGAGGGAGCTAATTCATTGAAAAAAAAGTGAAATAGATGACAACAGAGATCGACACTTCTCAAGCTCAGTGAGTCTTCTTGGCTTTGAACGTGGAATGTTGACAGAAATATAGACTGCACAAGGTTGCTTTCAGAAGACTGTATTGTCTCGTCTGTTTTATATCTCCCATGGTCAGTGTTACTTTTAATTTGAATGTTACTTCTGTTAATCGTGAATACTCGCCATGTGTAATTTACTTGCCAGAGCTACTTAAATACTTAATGTCAACGTGAATTTCATTACTAAAATTCCGTTATCAAATAAATTTCCATAACCAGTGTTCCTTTCTTGTATCGCTCACAAGGGCAGGGATCCTAGTCTGTCCTCTCATTGTTGTCTGGTTTAACTGTTGATCATGTCTCAACTAATTTAAAAGCCTGGCTCTAGTTATAATTATAATCGTGATAATTTGCTTTCCAAGAAGATGTAATTTGTGTTTCAAAGATTCCTTACATGGGAAAGCCCATGGTCAAGCGCACACACACACACACACAACGATGGACAAACACCATAACCAATATTTAATAAACTGGAGCACTGGGTGTAAAAAACATAAGAAAGTAGGAATACTGCAGCAGGCCTACTGACTCATTCTTGGCAGGTCCTTCTCAAACCCACTAACAAATATATTCGCCCAATCCATTATCAATTCTACCCAAGGAATAAGCTTTGATAACCCTTTTAACTCAACCCCAACTCCCATTCAAATCCAACCCCTCACCCATGTATTTATCTAACCTATATTTGAATCTCCAAGCTTTTAGCGTCAATTACCCTGCTAGGTAGACTGTTCCACTCATCGGCTACTCTAATTCCAAACTTGTACTTTCCTACATCCTTTTTAAATCTAAATTTATCCAATTTGAATCCATTAGAGTTCTTTCTTGAAGGAATATCCTCAGAACCTCTTATATCTCCCTTATTTCTTCACATCCAGTGCCTCATTTAAGAACATAAGAACATAAGAACGAAGGAACACTGCAGAAGGCCTACTGGCCCATGCGAGGCAGGTCCAAGTCTCCTACCGGCTTAAGCCAATGCACCCAACCTAGTCAGGTCAGGTCACATTGACTTAAGGGAGGAACACGGCAACCGACCTGTTAGCACAAGCTATCAGGTCTAACTCACACCCACCCACATCTACTCATGTATTTATCCAACCTATTTTTAAAGCTACACAACGTTCTGGCCTCTATAACGGTACTTGGGAGTTTGTTCCACTCATCCACAACTCTATTACCAAACCAGTACTTTCCTATATCCTTCCTGAATCTGATTTTTCCAACTTAAAACCATTGCTGCGAGTCCTGTCTAGGCTAGATATTTTCAGCACACTATTTACATCCCCTTTATTTATTCCTGTCTTCCACTTATACACCTCAATCATATCCCCCCTAATTCTACGTCTTTCTAGAGAGTGCAGATTCAGGGCCCTTAGTCTATCCTCATAGGGAAGGTTTCTGATACATGGGATCATCTTTGTCATCCTCCTTTGTACATTTTCCAGAGAATTTATATCCATTTGTAATACGGTGACCAAAACTGTGCAGCATAATTCTAAATGAGGCCTAACCAAATGTTGGTTGAAGAACAACGTGGGACTTATCATTTATGACTTTCTAAATAAATAGAGCCAGGATTCTCTTACTTTTATTGGAAAAGTATTAAAACTGTTGTCATTGTTTCAGATTACTGCTAGTAAGAATTAAAAAATTGTCCGCAAATCCGAATAGTAAATGTACATGATCTAAGTTTAAGCGGCATGTTATTGTCCTGTCAACATTTAGAACCTTGCATGCTGTCTATCATTAAAAGTAAAATATCGGGCGCACTTCTCGCCACTGATCTTGCTTTACTGAATTCAAATTCTCCAGAGGTGCTCGAATGTCTCGTCGATAAATTTTCCCCACGGCCTTTTAATTTGAATGTCTTTATCGGCAAACTCGCCGATGTGTATTTATTGCCCTACAATTTTAATGTCCGGATTTATTACTAAATTCGTATCAAATATGTGGCCTAACCTGTTCCTCTGTGGTACCGCTCGTGACGTCTCCCCCTCTTGTTGTCTCGTTTAAAACCTGCTGATCATGTTCTCAACCATTAAAACTCTCTAGTAAATAAATTTATTTGCTTTCCAAGAAGTGCTTTAATTTTTTCAATATCCTCATGGGGCCCTGTCAAAAGCCCTACAACCACAACACAAACATACAAAACCATTACCATATTAACTCACTAAATAACCTAAAGTGAAAGAAACTGTTAGATATTCTTGGCAGGAACCCACTTAAAAAACCATGCTTGACATTCTGAATAATTTATCCCTTTTCAAGGTGCCCTTCACGAACTCCTCCATTATTTGATTCCTATATTGAATCTTCCCAGCTATTGGAGGTTAGACTGTATTGGTCTTAATTCGAAACTTGACTTCCACACTGTTTTGAAATTAGGTTCTCAACATTTGCCTTTTCCCACTTAATCCAGTGCCTCATTGCCAGTTGATGTAAACAGACCTAAGTTTCTTTACACGCTCCATTTCACCTTTATCGTACGTCTCGAACTTCCCGGGGGTCAGTCCCAGCCTACTGGCAGAACGGTAAAAGCTCTGATCACTCAGCTACTTAAAATTGCCACTGCTACTTACCGAGGCACCTCACACATGACCAGATATTACTTCAAATATTCAATAGATAGTTTGACTTACATGGACTGTGACTGGCATGCCGGGCCTGAAGATGAGCGGCTGGTCCCCCAGGAAGGCTATCTTAACCTCCTCCTTCACCAGCCTTGCCAGCGCCCACCCTTCCTGCACCCACCATCCGAAGGAGTCGCCCACGGATGCCCACACTCGCACACTCACGCCCCTCAGGTCACTGCTGCCCAGCTTCTCACGCACCTTCCACAGCGGCAGACTGAATGAGTGGTGTCCACGAAACTGCAGGCAGAGTGTACAAATACATTAGTACATCTTATATCAGGAAATGTTCAGTGTTGTATAAAAGTGTTCTTATGAATTGTTTCTGTATTTGTCTTAATTTGTATTTCCAAAACTGTTTCTGGAGTTGTACTAAGAGTAGTTATTTCTGGATTTGTGTTTTCGTAGTGTTTCTGAATTTGTATTAAGAGTTTTTCTCGACAATAGTGCATTCAGGAACTTTTTTTTAGAGCTGCGTGTGTCTAGAACTGTTTTCGGAGCTTTGTATTTCTAGGGTTGTGTTACTGGAGCTGCGCATTTCTGGGGTTATATTTGCAGAGCTGGGTGGTGTTTCTGGGGTTGTTTCCGGAACTAGATACTTCTGGAGTTCCATTTTTGGAGCTGTGTATTTCTGGATTCAAGCATTTCCAAGGCTCTCAGTTTTTTGTATACATTTTTCTGAAGTAAGTTTTGCGGAGTTGTGTTCTCGACAGCGGTTTGTGATACATTCGGTAATTTGCATTTCAAAAGTTGCCCAACAGTTGTGTCGTGTTGCAAATTTAGCTTCAACTTTGTTGGCTATAAACCATGTGAGTAAATCATACATTTCGCATATATGAGGGTTATTCAAGCATAAACAGAAATTGTGTACATGGCATTTCAACGATGGTTTTATATATGCGTGTGTGTGTGTGTGTGTGTGTGTGTGTGTGTGTGTGTGTGTGTGTGTGTGTGTGTGTACACTCACCTATGTGTACTCGCCTATTTGTGGTTGCAGGGGTCGAGTCATAGCTCCTGGCCCCGCCTCTTCACTGATTCCTACTAGGTCCTCTCTCTCCCTGCTCCATGAGCTTCATCATACCTCGCCTTAAAACTATGTATGGTTCCCGCCTCCACTACGTCACTTTCTAGGCTATTCCACGTGTGTGTGTGTGTGTGTGTGTGTGTGTGTGTGTATGTGTGTGTGTTCACCTAGTACTCACCTAGTGGGCGCGCAGAACAAGTCACATGGGTTAGATTAAGTCAAGTTAGGTTTAAGAAAGATTAGTTTAGTTTAGGAAAGCTTAAGGTGAGGCTAGGTTTAGGAAAGATTAGGTTAGGTTAGATGTAGAGATGAAAGTCATTATGACGTGCGTCTGTATGACGCACTGTTTTGGCCCCGCTGGCAGGGAGAGTTGTTCCTGGTACTTCTCAGGGTGACACAGATACATCTGGAGAGATGTATCTGTGCCCACCCAGGTCTGTGAGTGCCCACTCAGGCTGACGTGAGCAGTCTCGACCAGACATGAGTTTCTCTAACAGCTATTCCTAATGTTTCTCCTACAGTAGCTGTGAGATTATCCTTAACTTTAAAGGACCTGCCTCACCCCAACCAGATTTACCGTACTCCTTCAGACTACATTGTCTGACAACACTAAGTGTGGCCACTGTTACTGTGGCTTACCATGGGATTTCCGGCTATCTGAACTTCACGTGCGTCCTAAGGAGCTATTAAATTCATAATCTGAAGATAAGGGTTATCAAATGATATTCACTAACTTAAAAACCAGCAGGAACAGCTCACCGCATCGATGAACTCGTGGTGAGCATCAGTGAAGGTGTCTGGAATCTGTGTGTAGTCGTGACGGGCGAACTGCAGCTTGATGGAGCAGTTGCCGAAGACGTCTCTCCAGTTGGTCATATTAGCCACAACCACGCCCTCTACGTACTCGGCCGACGTCTGCACCGTCAGTGGAAGGCGCACGAACACCTGTACCAAGTGGCAATTGAAGTAAGAAAAGTATTTATCATAGGGGGAAAGACTTCAACACCTGTATGAGGACATGGCAGGCGAGGCGAAAATAAGATAGTGTGGAGAGACAACAGACCAAAAATGGACTGAAACAAAATCACAAGTTCAGTGCCGAGGTCTCGGTTACTAAATAACGAAATCTCCACAGCCGGGTTTATACAGCTCCAACCAGCGGTGTGTCAGTGCTTCCTTACCCCCGAGGAAGCAACATTAGGGAAGCATCTATCAACTGAGGTTCCAGTGTTGCACTTGTGTTCTCTGCTCTCCTTCGCGTTTAGAATGTTGCAGTTGCGATGCCCAACACTAGTCTGACGTTTTATATTCTACATAGTGCTTACGAAGGCTACTTTTGTTTCGAAACAAAATAAACTGAAAATTAAAACGTTAAGAGTAAGCTCAAAAGGATAACTTTTGAGACGTTTTAGTCATTAAACTATAGAGTTTAGTAATAACTACTAAATACATTGCATAAACAAAACCGTGAATTCAAGAGTTAGATATAACGAAGACCACGATCGAAAACAAACTGTATGTACACGGCTAACTTAAATATATTCGGAAGTGTTAGATGACAGTGTAGGCGAGCAAGACCTACCTCGAACCTGGGCCTGAAGTAGTGCTCAACTTCTATGTTCTTGTCTTCCACTTGGCTGCCAGCCCTCACCCGGATCTTCCAAGTCCCCACCAAAGGGTAGTCGGGCAGATCGAACTTGAGGTTGATGACTCCTGCAATGAGATACCAACTTTATTCTACTCTCAAAACTTTATATAATGCATCATCAGATGAAGCCAGTTTAATAAAGGGTTCATAATGTTTGATCGCAAGATAATACAAAGCAAGGTTCCTACACTACAAGGGGATAGGTTACCCACTCTTGACACGGGTCCGGTTTAAGACTAGTTATTCCACCTCTGCTCGATAGAGCTCTTAATGGTTTGCCCTCGTTTTTTCCTCTTCTATATAGCCACAAAGTCACTTGAGTTCGGCGACACCAGCCAGTGCCTGCATTGGTCCTTTCGTACTCACTAGGCTATCGAGGCAAAACGAACTTTTCCAGTCATCTTGGATAACTATGGAAACTGGCTCCATTCTCTTCAGTGAGTCAGTTTCCTCAGTAGCAGTTCCGATATTCTAATTTCGGGAGCTAGTCCAGTTTCCCACTGCAGACTTCTACCTACATGTTGGCAAAATTTTGTATACCTTGTGGTAGGTTGGAGATTCTTGGACTACATATGATACTGTTTTTTCCCAAAGTGTTTATGACCCTCAGTTATTTACCACAACCTATTTACAGGTTAACTGTTCATAATTATGGTATCTACATTTTACTGTCCAAGAAAAATCTAATGTGTATTTCAGTGTCAAACATTGCTTTAATTTCTGTGAGGAAGCCAGCTATTAAAATCAATCATTTTTTTTCGCCTTATATAATAAGCGAGAAAAATTATTCTGTTTTGAACTGGTAGTTTAGTTAAGGGGTCAAGTATGTAATTACGATTTTAACAGCTAGTCCAGCTTTGCTGCAACACCTGCTGGAGTGTTTGCCAAAATGGTGTTTCCTCAACCAGTAAAGTTATATATCTTATTTTCGCTAATTGCTTGTTATTGTTGCATTTTTTGAATTTTTTGTTTTGATGCATCTTATTTCTGTTTTCACTTATCTTTGCGACACATTTTGGGTAGTTTATTGTAGTGTACCAGCCACCCTGTGGGTGAACACGATACCAAAATTAAAACACTTGGTCCATGCATAAATAATCCACATGTAGGAGACTGTAATTTATGACTGTTTCGGTCCAGCATGAACCACTGACAAGGGTCAGGTAACATAATAATCCCGGAGCGGATTCTAAGACGAAAACTTGCGTCAGGATTTTTTTTTTTTTTAAGTTTGACTCTTAGTACCCGACTCCTTTACATCCCTTCGTGTCTTCCTGACTATGTATTTTCAATTCATCATGGATGCCACGTTTTCTATCATAAAAAAAAGGTGTTGGAGGAGAGACTTACCGTGACCTGTCTGATGGGAGGGCCAGCGGCGCATCTTTCTTCCCCGGGGATCCTGCGAAGAGTAAGAGTGGTGAGAGCTGGAAGAGTAGGGTGAGAGCTGAGAGATGATAGATAAGCATTGAGAGTAATGTCAGTGATTAGAGTGTAGAGTATTGTACGAGTGATGCGAAAAGGCAGAGGGAAGCTACAGGAGGCATAGAAGTGGTGATTTTTTAGTGTGGGAAGTATTGTGAGAAAGCAAAGAGTGATAAAGGGAGGTAGAGAGTAGATAATGGGTAATAGGCAGTGTTGTGAAAAAATATAAATATATTTATATTTAGCTAAAGAGGCTAATTTATTGTGCATCCTATATCCATCCTGTAGACGGTAATGCAAGAGTCCAAGGATACACAAAACGTCAAAAAACTAAGCTCCCCCTCCCCCCCCCCAAAAAAAAAGAAACAAATTTCAATAGGAGTATCTTCGGAATGGAAATAAATGGTATAAAATACCGACACAATGGAAATATAAACACAAATGCAGTATAATGTGATCCTTTATTGACTACGTTTCGCCCACACAGTGGGCTTTTTCAAGTCACAAACAGAACTACCTGGGGTGGAAGGAACGCGAGTATTTATAGTCCGGTTCAGAATGCTGAGGTCAGGTGAAGAATGCTGCATCTGATGATGTACCGAGTGGGGTTATAGAGTCTAAAAACTTGGGTAGCTTGGAAAGGAGATTGGAGTATCTTCACATTCTTCACTTAATATTTCAGTGGCTGCAAACAAATTTTGGATACTCAATGTCTGATACCATATTTTCATTAACAAGATACTTTGACATCTCTTATAGGTCACTACACTATAGTATTTAAGTATATAATAATCAGGTGACCATAAGGCTAACCACATACTTTGCATTTAGTCTGATCGTTTGTGTATATAGTTAACTGACATACTTGTAACCTAAAGCCTGGTTATTAGAACATCAGTATCTGTTGACACTACAAATTGGTCCGTAAGTGCTTTACTAATTTCTTGTTATAATAAGTTTGTTACGAACAGGGCCCGGGAGCTCCCTGCTATAGTGCTTCTCGTAACAAACATGCACCAGGAAGAACAAGTTTGTCGTGTCTAGAGATACCAATCACTAGGACTGTTTGTGGAGGCAAAGGAATCTATTCGTGTCCAGAGATACCAATCACTAGGTCTGTTTATGGAGGCAATGGAATCTATTCGTGTCTAGAGATACCAATCACTAGGACTGTTTATGGAGGCAAAGGAATCTATTCGTGTCTAGAGATACCAATCACTAGGACTGTTTATGGAGGCAAAGGAATCTATTCGTGTCTAGAGATACCAATCACTAGGACTGTTTATGGAGGCAAAGGAATCTATTCGTGTCTAGAGATACCAATCACTAGGTCTGTTTATGGAGGCAAAGGAATCTATTCGTGTCCTAGAGATACCAATCACTAGGACTGTTTATGGAGGCAAAGGAATCTATTCGTGTCTAGAGATACCAATCACTAGGACTGTTTATGGAGGCAAAGGAATCTATTCGTGTCTAGAGATACCAATCACTAGGACTGTTTATGGAGGCAAAGGAATCTATTCGTGTCTAGAGATACCAATCACTAGGACTGTTTATGGAGGCAAAGGAATCTATTAAGTGATAAGCAAGATACTCATACCGTAACAATTACGAGTAGAATAAATATCTAAATATTAAAATGTTATCCAGATAACTTTAAATATTCACAAAAGGAAACAGTCAGATTTTCTAAAAGCTATCACAATGAGTCAAGAAAGATATACACAGGCGTTTATAAAACTTAGACGTAATATTAACAAAATAAAGTTCTTCCTCAGGGGGCTTTTCGCAATATATTCCTTATTGAACAGTCTACAAACAGACGATCACTTAGACCCGTTCACTGTTACTCATAACTTCTAGGAGCTTCTCAACCGCTTTCTCAGACGGCCGACCACAGACCTTCCAAATTTCCGGGGTACTGGAGTTTACCTGGAGAGAGTTCCGGGGGTCAACGCCCCCGCGGCCCGGTCTGTGACCAGGCCTCCTGGTGGATCAGAGCCTGATCAACCAGGCTGTTACTGCTGGCTGCACGCAAACCAACGTACGAGCCACAGCCCGGCTGGGGGAATTATAGCGAAGCTTAAAGCCAGGCTCTCCATCGAATCCTTTCTCGATTACAAGGATAAACTGAACAAGGTAAGGCTTTACCACCAGACATCAACTCGGAATGACCAGGGGTTGAATAGTTCAAACTGTCCCCTGGTGCTTAACCATGTTGTACCAGCAGTTTAGAATACTGAAACATACTACCTATGTACAAAGCTGAACAATTTATGGCCAGATAATATTATAAAGCCGAGTAAATTCATTTTAGCTATTATTGAAGATACTCCTTAATATAATATCAAGTGAAAATTCCAAATCAACACATGTAAACATATCGTCCCAGTTTGTAGTTAAATAAACAAGGGGCGTAAGTGTTATAGATCTACTCAGACTTAAAACTGTATTGCTGTGATATTGAGATTCATTATCTACTGCTCTCCTGACACAGTTACAAATGTTAAAGCAAATTCTGAATGAACTAGATGCATTTTGGTACATACGTATACACATCCATACATGTCTGCACATGCATACATGTGTACATGAATAAATTCACAGGGATGTCAGGAAGTAGAACGACCTAGACAGCGAAGTGATAGAGGCAGGATTCATACACAGCTTTAAGAATAGGTATGACATGGCTCACATAGCGAAGAGTTGACCGAGTAGCAATCAGCTGGAAGGTGGGGCCAGGAGCAGAGCTTGACTCTCCCTACAGTCACAAATTAGCTAGTACATTCAGACACATATACAGTATATATTTTTAAACTGTGTTGCACAAGAATGTTATCCCCACCCTGCACTATTCCTTTGGTGTGCAGTGAGATAGAGGAGGCTGGGCTTATGGAATACGGGGATACGTGAATTGACCGAATCTAGTTTGTTCCTTGTATTCACTAACACAACACGAGATTTTTTAACATATAAAACAGTATATATATTTTCTTAACACAGCCATAGAAGAATTATTTTAACTCATCTCAAAAATTCCATCAGCTTAAAGACGCCTTGAAATAATAATAATAATAATAATAATAATAATAATAATAATAATAATAATAATAATAATAATAATAATAATAAGCTTCAAAAAGTTCCCTGGCCCCTCATCCAGCCAGATTGCTACACCCATCCCTAGATCCTTGTTATATCAGCCATTTAGAGCAGCCCCTGATTTTCACTGTTGCACTTAGTTGAATTCCAGCCTTTGGGTTTCTCGACAATGTTGATCTATAGATCCTGGACCTCTTTTAGGAGGGTATCGTTATTGCTGGTGGGTCTCTTAAAGAACGTTGACCTGCAACATTTCTGCATCCTAGAGGGTCTGAGGTCTCTTGGTGGGTGTGTTGTTGAGGTACACCGGGATGTGGAATGGGTTGAGGTACATGTTGCTGGGGAATGGGTTGAGGTATATGGGGATGGGGAATGGGTTGAGGTACACGTTGCTGGGGAATGGGTTGAGGTACACGGGGATGGGGAATGGGCGTGACGTCAGCTGTGAATTATTTCGTGAAGACTAACGCAAATCTTCATCATCACGACCTACATCCTCACGCTCACCCTTCACAATCATCCCCCATCACCTTCATCGTTAGTATCAAAAGCACTCCTCACACCACCCTCATAATCACCATCGAATGCGCCATTACAATCACAACGCCAATGTTCTGTGAATACAAGAATAGCAGGAAGCGTGACTCGCTTTTTTCCAATCTCAGCGAAGCAATTTCTGGTCATGAAGCTGTTGATGTCCATTAGGTGGTTATCTGTGATGGTGGAGTATACTTGATTGGTGTTACTGTGATGGTGGTGTATCTGTGCGGTGTAGTACGTGACGGTGTAGTATACTGTGATGGTGGTTGTATCCTGTGATGGTGGTAGTATACTGTGATGGTGGTAGTATACTGTGACGGTGGTAGTATACTGTGACGGTGGTAGTATACTGTGACGGTGGTAGTATCTGTGACGGTGGTAGTATCCTGTGATGGTGGTAGTATCCTGTGACGGTGGTAGTATCCTGTGATGGTGGTAGTATACTGTGATGGTGGTAGTATCATGTAATGCTGATAGTTGATGCTAGTAGCGCATACGTTCGTTTGTTTACAGAATCTTAGAGTTCTCAGGAAGATAACCCATCGTGGTACACACAGGAGCTGCAGGAGTGCAGGCACCCCCTCCCTCCACTCAACCATTTGCACTCAAGAATACGTCCTTCACTGACAATGTTCGGTAATTTGTTACACTCGTCTGCAACTCCTGCCCAACCAGCGATTCCCTGTAACTTGATTCAAGTTTTCGTAGTTCTTTCATCTTGTATAGACTTCGCTTGCAACCTAACGGCTCGGGTTCAGCCCCAGGCTGGTAAAGATACTTGGAAAAGTCTCCTTACACCTGCTACCTCCGTTCACTTAGTAGTATGTAGGTATCTGTGTGTTATCCAACTGTTGTGGATGGCAGCCTGGAAGCTGGTGTTATACCTCAGATAAAGCTTAGCTTTGATGTGAGCTGAGGCTGGATAGAATCTCATAACCTATAACTTAGTGTCAGAAACATCTGACTTTGTCTAACATAAAGGGGCTACTTCCAGACCTGTCTTGTTTGCATATATTCTACATCTGATTTATGTCTGATTATTCGTGCATCCCATATATTTTTTATCTTACATTCTACGCATTTCAGAACAATAAAAAGTTCAATAACTCTAATACAGGTCAGAAAGATCGCATGTGATAGGCCTTTCTATGTATTCCAGCGAATATATAAATCCATTCTGTAACGGGAAGACGAGAAGTGTGCATGTAATACTCATAAATCCTTACCAATGGTTCAATGTAACATTGTAAATTCTTTTATTTATACATCATGACACAGAAGGCAGGTAACATGTGACCTTCATTAAGATAACTTAAATATAGTTGTCTTGGTTTC